TAATAAACCTTTTTATGCATTCATTGGAACTTTTCTTTCTCCACAAACACGTGACCAAATAACTTTTGCTTCAGTAAAAAAGTTACATGAAACTCTTGGAGAGTTAACTATTGATGTTATTAATAATACATCTTTAGAAGTTCTTATTAATTGTATTAAAGGTGTTGGATTTTATACTACAAAGGCTAAAAGATTAAAACGTTGTTGTGTTATTATGAAAGAACAATTTAATAATCAAGTCCCACAAACAAAACAAGATTTATTATCACTTCCTGGTGTTGGACCAAAAATCGCTTCATTAATTTTATCAATTGGATTTGATAGATTAGAGTCATTAGCAATTGACACTCACATATTTGTTATCTCTCATCGTTTAGGTTGGGCAGATGGTTCATCCCCAGAAAAAGTGAGACTTCAATTAGAATCATGGCTACCAAAAGAAGAATGGTCTTTGTTTAACAAATCAATTGTCGCTTTTGGTCAATGTTGTTGTCGTAAAATCCATCCAAAATGTAAACAATGTCCAATACAAGATAAATGCCATTATTATCATAAATCAACCTAATTCACATTATTTTAAGAATAAAACACCCTTAATATTAAAACTTATTGTTTGATTTTATTGTTTATTAAACATTCTTTTCTTTACTTATTTAAATCAATACCCTTATTTTCTTATATTATATCTTGTTTTTCATTAATAACTCTTATTTCTTTCTTTTTTATTATTTATTTATTGGTTTTATTTCACACCAGATATCTATACTATTGGCATCTTCTTAGTGATAGAAAATTTGTTGATATTTTTCTTTTTCTTATTCATAACATCTTTAGTTCTTTCATTTTATTAAGTATCTTTTTATCATAAATTATATCTTCTTTTGTTAGAGTAATTTTCATTTTATTCAATTGTATTGAACAATAATGTTAATTGAATATATCCATTAATAAGAGTTTTTTAATGCAGTTTAATAGCCTTTATGAGTAACAGGTAACATATAACTTTGTATAACAAGTCATTGCATTACTATTGGTTTAGTGATGTATCTTCATTAATTCATCAAATCATCTTCTAAGGATTCAGTAACAAAGTCCATATAATTGTCCTGATTCAGAACAAATTTGATCTGAGCCATCCTCTTATGACTTAAATAAAATACAACCAGTCATTAATAACAATAAGTGTTATATACAAATAATAAGTTATTTATTGTATCTGATCTTTTATAAAAATGAATAAGATGATAATCAAAACTACTAAAACAAAAGTAATGAGCTGTATTAATAAATTAATATTATTTGTTTGTATCACTGAATCAGAAACAATAATTTAACTCTAAATATTTATAAAAATCTTATTTGGAATTCATTTTTATTTCTGATATTTAATAATCAAAGAATACACTTAATGACTTCATCACAACTTCATAGGTATTTTTAATAGTTATAACACTTTAATAAACATTTAGTCAAACAGAGTTCAACCTCATAATTCAAAACCAACAATGATTTAACAAGATACTTTCCTACAAATGAAACAAGTATAAAAAATAAAAGTCTTGACTCATATATTTTTAGATTAATTAACCACTCTATTAAAGAGAAATAAAGAATAACTTTCTTGTAAAGATCGTATAGCAAAGAAATAAAAATAAAACAATTAAAGATTAAGTTATAAATTAGAAGAAGTAATATTTATATTTAATCAATTATGGAAGACAAGAACATAATACAAACTTCATAACTGAATAATTAGAAATCTTTTAAAACAAATGGATCTAAATGAAGATGATAATCAAATATTTTAGTATTAATATAATTTGTTTCTATTATTCCATAACCTTAGAGAATACTCTATTATGTATCTATAGATTCTCTCTCTTTGATGTGGCAGAAACAGTGTTCAAGAATTCTCTTATATTCTTATTATGTTTTTCTGATTATTAACACAGTCACTTATACCTGTTTGATTATTTAGTTTGATTTTCTGGACTTATTAGTTCATAAAGTTATAGTTTATAGTTGTAATTTTCAATGGTTTGAATCTTTCTTCAGGTATCATCTTTTTTTACTTTACTGTATTCATTCCTATCATGATATTTTTTTTTCATTTTGATAATATTTTTGTCGTTATTTTAAATGAGAAATAGAATATTCTTGCTCTTTTGTATAACATATCTATTTGTTTTTGATAATGTACTAGTTTTTAGTTCCTTTATTATCCTCCTTTTGTAGGTTTCGTGTTAAAACACATTTTATTACTCTTTAATATGTCTTTATTTTGTTTACTGATTAATGCCTAGATAATATAAAATAGAAATGGTTATTTTCTTTTTTTATTTGAATTTCTTTGACAACTAGTACAAAATTGATCTTTTATCTTTCTTGTATGATATTACCACTTTATGTATTTTATTTTTTAGTGTTTTTAGTTGTTTTTAATTATTATAATCATTATTATTTCTTACATAACTTTGAATATTTTTAGCTTAAAGTATACGAATATGTTATTTCTTATCTATTTAATATTACCAGTATAAAATATCAACTAATAATAAGTTTTCCATTTCATAGTGTCTTTTGTAAACATTTTTTATTTCTTTCAGTTATACTTTATTTTTATGTTTCTATTCTCTTTGAATTTATTATTATCATTTGGAATGTTATTTTTCCATTATTTTTAGATATATAATACAGCTCTTATTAATTTAAGAAATATTCATATTTTACAAATTCACCTAATCAGTTATTATATAATTCTGAATAATGCTTATATATCCCATTGTTATTTTATTTATCTTTCATAATATACAGAATAATAATAATAATAATAATAATAATAATAATAATAATAATAATAATAATAATAATAATAATAATAATTATCTATTTTCAATTAAGTTCTATGATTTTAGTAATTTTATCTTTTAGTAATTTATGGTTTTTATTGACTCTATTTAACTTATTCTATACTTTGATGATTTTTATTTTTTCATTGTTTCATTATAACTATATACTGTTTTAGTTTTTTTTTTTGATAGTTAATTTCTCTGTTAGTTTTCTTAGTCCAATTTTTTATATCTTATTTGTTTATTTTTCATTTACTTTTCTTTCTAATCAATATTCTTGTAATTATCGTCTTGTTTACCTATTTTTATTAATATATTCATTTTAAATCATTTATTCTTGTTATTTTTCTTATTTCATACTTAATTAATTTTTTAGAATATCATTACAATTTCTATTTCTTTTAACCTTTCATTGTTATTTATAACATTTAACAGTAAAGTTTTAATATCATTTATATTGTTTTTATTTACTTATACTTTAAATAAACTTCATAAGGAAAATAAAGAAATTTAATAAAAAAGAAATAATGTTTATTAAAATGATAAAGTAATAAATAAAGTATGTATTATAAATGAGTATTTAAGTATTTAAGTATTTAATCTTATTATTTTAATCTGATATTAATTAAATTAAAATGGAAGATGTGTTGAATAATCATTTAATTAATGAAATAGTAGAAACACTTCCAAATATTTATCAATCAATTGATGATACTAATAAACATTATCAGTATTATTTAAGAAGTATTAAAAATGAAATATTTGAAATACAAGATAATGAAACATATGAGCAGGCAATTAAAAGAGGAGAAGGAATAATTGATAGGATGGATGAAATAGTTAGAAGAAGAAAACTAGTAATAGAAAAAGGACAAGAAACAATTAACGAAATAGACTCAATAAAGAATAAAATGAAGAAGATAATAGAAGAATGTAATTCCGATGAAGAAACAGTTAATACAGCTAAGAATAAACTAATAGATAAAATTATTCAAATGGAAGAAATGAATATGAAAGATAAAATTAAGAAATTAGAAGAAGAAATTAACAATATTAAAATAAGATTTATTAAGAATAAAGAAGAATGGAACAAGCACTACAGTGATTATTCAGAAAGGAAGAAGATAAAAGAAGGTGAAGAAGAAAAAGAAAGAAACAAACAAGAAGAAGAGAAGAAGAGAAAAGAAGTGATGAGAGAAATGTCAATAGAAAAATACCAAATCGAACAAATAGAAGAACGGACAAATAGAAAACTGGGAAATATACTGTTTGATTCAGATACTGATAACTGGAATAAGAATACATCAGTATTTGATAAAAGGATAATAAACAAAGAAGGGTTGTTGTTTATTGTTGAAGACTCAGAAGGATATAAATTTGGAGGATATATTAATTCTAAAATTGATAAAGTTGATGATTGGATAAATGATCCAAAGTCATTTGTATTTTCATTTAATTTAAAAGGAAAATTAAAAGGAGTGATGAGGTTTGATATTAAAGAACCACGATACGCATTCAGACTGTGTAGTCAACCACAAGATTCTTTGTTTGGAATTGGTGGTGGATGGGATATCTCTGTTCATAAAGAAAATGATAAAATAAAATCATATTGTTATCAGTCATCATTTGAATATGAAGGAATTGAAAATGCACTTTG